TTCATTTCCATGCAAATGTGTACGTTCCGGGCAACGAAAACAATGTTTGAATATAGCGGAGGGGTTACTTACTGGTGTGTAGGAGAGAGACATCGAGTGGTGAAGGCTTAAGCTGGATCGGGTAAGTTCGGCGCTGAACCGAGAATAGCGGACGGTAATCCGGTCCGCGGTTCGGTAACAATATGATCATCCACTGCTAACGACAATGTTAACGTGGCGCTGTTGTCAATGATACACTCAGTGTTTGCCTTGAGGTGAGCCAGCCCGTGTTTCCCAAGCACACTAGAGGTATCAGGGAAGCGACTGCAGCGAGCGGCAATTGGCCATCGACCCAGAGGCACGAGTTGATTCACTCGTTGTAGGTATTATAGGTGAGAAAACATAGCCACCATACAGCAACTGAAGGTAGCTATAGAAGGTCGTAGATAGCTCGGCGTTGTAGGGCGGTCGAACGCGGAGGAGTACTTGGTACATCCGATCAACCGATCAGAGTCGATGGTCTGTAGTGATCTTCGTTGGCCTGATTGGGTATGGGATGGCGCCACAAGTCACAACTTAGCTGCGCCCAAGTCGTGAGGTGGACGGCAACGACTTTTTTTTTCGGTGTCTCCTCGTTCTTTCTTCTGCACTGCCATAACCTCGCCATTCGAATCCCAGCCACAGAAGTTCCTCCTATCCGTGAGCCCTGGCCTGTATATAACCCTGAATTGATTCCCCACCAGGCCATACTACCCCTCCTTCCCTAACTATTCTCTAGTGCAATGGCCGAACCAATACATTCACTAGCCTCCTTTCCCGAGGAACTCCTGGCACGCATACTAGCACTCTGCGTGACACCACCCCCAGCTCTCCCCTCCCGACCTCCATGGGACGTTGTCCCCCCAACCACACTTCGCAACCTACCACGCAACCGCTTTGCACCGTTGCTCGTATCCCGCCAATTCCTTCGAATTGCCTCGCCCCTGTTTTACCACACCTTACACCTCCAGTCACCCAACCAGGCCACTTGGCTACTCGAGACGCTGCAACATCAGCCGTCCTTGGCACATGCGGCGCGGAAACTCGTGTTTGGTGGCATCTGGCGTGACTGCGCAGCTGTGCTCACGCTCTGTGACCGCGTGTACGATCTCGACATCTGTTTAGACTGCGGTCCTGACAACAGCACCCCAATTCCCCTAAACGTTACCTTTGGCAATGACAGCGATGGGGAATCATTCTGCTTCGCACTCCAGCAGCGGGACTTCATCACGCATCTTACGATACGTAAAGCCGACAATGTGTATCTGACCCATCGTCGCCCAGCAGTGTGTACTACGGACGTCTGCCAGTCGATCATACAAAAGTGGTCGAACCTTGTAAGCGCCGGAGGAGTACCATCACCGCATGTTGAATTAACTTGTTGAACTGTTTTCAGGAGTCCGTTCATTTCGCTGTGCGTATCTCTGCGTCACCAATCACTCTTCCCCTCGCACAAGCTCTCAGTGAGGCACCTCGCCTACATTCCGTACGCGCACAGGTCCCCTCTGTTTGGAGCGACTTCCTCCTACTTATCTCATCCAACCCATCACTCGAAAAAATAATGCTCTACTCGGAATCCATGTCCGGCGTTGCACAGAACAGAACCATTCAGGGGCTCGCAGCGATCAAAGGGGCGTATGATGGTGTCGATGACAACGAAAATGCGATTCTGGGTACTGGGATGTTCATGATCGGAGCAAGGATGCATGCAAGACTCTCGGAGCTCATCAAGGCTGGAACGTAAGGGTCTTCGCTCCTTCGTTCGGGACATTGTTTGACACTGATCGATTTTACTTCTCAGCTCGATTATCCGAACGAGAGCCACGACACTCGCGACCGTCTCCAGCCAGAAAACTAGCGCCACGACGCTGAGCGCTACCAGAGCCAAGGAGGTAGCTACGGAGTTGCTGGCCAACCGCCACGTGTACACTCTCGGTGTCGCAGCAGCCCAGCCGCCTGCGATCAGTTTAGGTCATTGAGCACACAATATCCCCGTACATCTCATAGTCTTTGATACCCTAATTACCATGCCATCCTCGTCTGGTCACGTCGACTTCTTGGCAGCATCTTTGAATTTATCCGACGTTCCGTTTTTCCTAACCTCAGGCTAGTTCGCGCTATCATTTCGGTGAATCAGACTACATTGCATACACAGACGTTGTACATATATGTCCTTTGCACTCTCTAGCATTTGCAATGAGTCGTTCGTCTTTCCAGTTGACATCGATCTTTACGATGTGAGGCAGAGAGCGCCAGACCTGTGAGATGATACTAAAGTGTATCAGAGTGGCTCGCCAAGCAATCCAGGAATGCCATACCGGGGAAGCTGGAGCTGGAACCTCCAAACTGCATCGATCTGGCTAGCTCTGCGCTGTGGCAGGAGGCCGAGCGGTCCCATACTCGGCAGGAAACAGGATGAAGGTATCACATGTGAAGCACTTGCTACCGATGGCACAAAGGTAGCCAGCGCATCACATATGTACCAGCATCGGCGTGGGCGTACGTGCGTGTTCATCGAGTATGGGACCGCTGGGCCAAACCACAATCGGTCACCAAATGAGCTAATCCGCCATCGCCGATCTGTGTCGATTGGTGAATAACTGCCTCTACAGTACTCGGGAGAGCTGTGTGGTCCTGGGATGGACATGGTAAAAGCTGAAGAGGGTAGCAGTCCGAAAAAGGCATGTGCTGTAGAACTGGTCATATGCATGTTGAAAGTTGGTACTGTCAAAAATGCACGGTTCCACGAGCCAACCGTGACCCTGTCTGTCCCACCTCACCACAATCTCCTTTTCTACTATCTGCTCAGCGCCAGCCTCCCCGTCCTGTCCTGGCGCTATAAATTCTGTTCTCACTTCTTGCTGGCCTACGTTCCATTCCCAGAACTACCGACCGACACCGTCAAACGACGCCATACATATCGATCTCTGTCCGAGTCCACGCGCGCTCCATGAACTTTTTCAAGACTAAACCACGAACACCGCCAGACCTCGTGCGCGGACTTCGGGATGCGATTCCAAAGCTAGAGTCTGGCCCACCGGGAAGCGAGACAAGGAGAAAGGTGAGCCCAATCCCGGACACACGCCCTGTCATGTGATTTTGATTTTTACTCGATCGCGTCGTCCAGGCGAGCGAGGAAGTGTCGAGGAACCTCCAAGCCATCAAGGGGATATTCTACGGAGACGGGGGTACGCTGATCTCCCTCGTCTAGGCTTTGTGCCACTCACTCCCATTTTCACTCACGCGCGCCATGTTCATGCCATGTCGGGTAGAACCCGTGCCCGAACTCATCGCCCAACTCGCGCAAGAGACGTATTCGACCGATTTGCTGCTTAGTCTCGTGCAGAACATCGCACGTTTCGATTTTCGAGTCGCGGAAAGATGTCGTCCAGATATTCAACAACCTCCTACGGCGCCAGATTGGCGCCCGCTTACCCACTGTCGACTACATCTGTGCAAAGCATGAGGAGGTCATCTTTGCTGCTCTTGCGGGGTATGCAAACGAGGAGATCGCGCTGAACACTGGGATGATTCTGCGAGAGATGCTGAGACACGAGCAGCTGGCTAAGATTCTGCTTTATTCCGATCAGTGAGATATCTTCTCTGCTCTTATGCACCTATCTCTACCGAGCTGACACCACGAGAGATTTTATTTGTTTCCAAACCACATAGAGACAACATCTTTCGGCGTATCATGCGACGCTTTTGCCAATTTGAAGGAGACGCTGACACGGCACAAAACCATGGTGGCAGAATACCTTGACAAGAACTACGACAGAGTGGGTCTTGGCCTGTTTCTTTTCTTTCTTTTTTTCGTCACCTTCTCGAGTCCTGACCTCGGGGGTGGTGACAGTTCTTCGCGTCCTTTACGACTCTCATTCTCTCCAACAACTACGTTACCAAGCGCCAATCTCTCAAACTCCTGGGCGAAATCTTGCTGGATCGTGCAAACTTTAGCGTCATGACGCGTTACATCGCCCAAGAGGGCAACCTCAAGATGATGATGAACATGCTCCGAGACAAGAGTAAGAACATCCAATTCGAGGCTTTCCATGTCTTCAAGGTCGGTCGTTGTTGCTTCTATATATGGTGGGGATCCACGTATTGACTGACCGCCTCGGTATAGGTGTTCGTCGCCAACCCGAAGAAGCCACCTCAAATCGAGTCAATATTGCGAAGAAACAAGGAGAAACTGCTGTCGTTCTTGAAGACCTTCCATAACGACAAAGAGGATGAGCAGTTCAGTGTACGTGGTGCTGCGTCCTTCCCTCGATCGAGACCAGCCACCTGATTCGTTCTGGTGCCCCTAACAGGACGAGAAGCAGTTCCTGATAGTCCAAATCCAGAATCTGTAGCCGTTGGTACACATAGTCCCCGTCCTAGATCCCTCGCACGCACGCACGCACGCACTTCTTGTCCGTCACACACTCGGCGTTCTTATATCCTTATCTACCTCTTTCGGCTTTTTCACATCGCAGACAGACAAGGGTCCCGCTACCCCACCACCCAAGTGGGCGATCAAATCGTATGGTGTATCATAGCCATTTGTGTACATACCCCCTGACACGACCCCATACATCTCTAAGCTACAGTATATATTGGGTGGATCGTTGTTGTATATAATGGCACACCCAGGATTGGCGTTGCCGTTCGCTGTGTACTTTTTTTTCTTTTCTTTTTAGTGTATATCGCAATTGTCGAACATTCGAACATTGTCGGTTTTGACGTGGCCACATCAGTGCATGTAGAGCTCGTGTGCATGTGGCTCTACACAGATCACTTGCTGTGCTCGCCGACATACAGTCATCGATCGATCATAGCGTATTGGTGGCAGCAGGCATTCGAGCGCTGTCTCACCTCATACGGCCTCATATGTACTAGTGAACGAGTCAACTATAAGTGGGTGATCGAGTTCAAGAAAAACGAAAGGAAAAAATAACTGCAAACGGATGGTGTCTTTTTTGCCCGTCGCCGTTGCATTTCTCTCTGGCGGGGAGTCGAACCCCGCTCTTCCGCGGACCCGTCTCATGACAGGCGGATGTACTATCCGATATACTACCAGAGATTGGGATAGGGCGGGCTCATTGACCATAACGTTGCATTGGGATGGGAGGGATAGTACAAATTGTCTACAAATTACAGTATTATCCATATCGAAAACAACAAATTGATTGACAGCATTGATGGAGGAGAGCATCCCTTTCCAATCTAAATGACTACTACACTTCACCATCACCAGTTCTCCAACACCACCTGTGCGCACTCCTGTGAAAAGTGCAAATGACCGTTTTAGCCCCGGTTTTTCTGCGAGAGTCTGGTAAGAAAAACCGACCTTCAGTCTCGCTAAGCTATGCACGATTGCGACGTTCAAGACCGTTCGCAGCTTCCTCCTGGTCTCTGGCTTCCCGACTACTAGCTGGTACGACCCCGAGCATTGACAGTATCGGGAGACATTGTCGGAGCGGAGTTGTTTGCACTTCGTGCAGCGGAGGTCTTGCTGCACAAACGCCCTCTCCATTGCACCGACCATCCGGACGAGCTCCATTTCTATCGCAGCCCGGTCGTATTCACCTCCACATCCCCCACACGTCCATCTTGGGGGCCCGACGTCCAGACCGTTCGACATGAGCTCCGGGTCTCGACAGAAGTCGAAGTCCCGGAGCGCATCACAAAGTTTGCAAGGGACGTTAGATAACTTCAACGTTTCGCAGGGATTTCGGAAGACTGCTTCATTGGCGAATTCGCGGACACCTGCTAACTCGAGAAGGTTACGTTTCAAGAGACCAATTTCCACGTGATAGTCTTGGGCAAGGCCGAGAACTGCGCAAGTAAACTTGACGAATTCGAGGAGGGGGTCAGTGAGGGCAAGATAAGAGCCGGGAAGTATTGGAAACATGAACTGATTGTGGAGTTCCTCATCGTACGCTGAGTCTCTATGCTTGGATTGAAGAAGGCCTACGACTCTCAGAAGTTTTCGTGTGAGTTTCCTGGAAATGAACTCGCGAGTCGTATCCGTCTCGTTCACTTTTCCGGCATCTCGTTGTGTGAGGTCTGGTGCGAGGTTCTGCAGCACTCGAAGGGGAGCCCGTGAATGTTCGTTCGTCTTCTGTCTGATCTTGTAAAGCTCGACGATGAAGTACTGGATGACGGAGCTGAAATCGTCCTGAACGGCGGGTGGCAGGAATGTTTGAATGTTCCAGCGCATTTCGATAGTGAGCTCTTCCGGAGGATCGACAGCCAAAGGGTCTTCGCAAACCACACCTCCCAAGTTCGCGGAGTCCATGAACAGTAAGAGGTCGTAAAAGCGCTCCGTTTTGAGATAGATGTGCTGGAATAGTTCGTGGGACGTGACCGCTGTGTTAATATACGTGGCATAGGCATGGGCCGTTCCAGGTGGTTTCGAAGTCGCAAGTAAAATGCGGCTGAAGTCAGCATAGACGACTTGAGAGCCGAGCCGCTTGAATTCAGCAAGCATTTGTATGAATGTTTTTCGCATAAGTCCATGGACAAATCGGTGGATACTGGGATCATGAAGGTGGGATGCGCTCGTACTGATCCAACGCCAGAAATGATCGATAGCTAGGGTTGCAGGACTCTCGAAGTTACCCTGGATTTTGTCAAGGAGCCAAGCCTTGATCATCGACTTCAAGATGCCGAACGTCAAGGCCGAGACATTCGACTCCCCAAGTGTAAGATCACGCTGTGCCTCGCCTCCGGAGTACTCGTTCAGGGTGCGAGACACAGAGTCGAACGCCGTTGCACCGCCGCTCCCTTCAAGCTCGTTGACCACCACAGAGTGCAATACAGAGTTAACGGCTAGGTTGCGCACTGTGATCTCCAAGCATACGTTGGAATAGCATCTAGGGGTCATAAATTCCGTGTTCTGCAGCTCTTCCACAGGCCGGTTGTCTGCCTCTCTGCCACCCAAATCTGGTCGTTCAGTAGGTGACCACCAGAGAACAATGTCCTGCTGTATTAGCCGCCGTGCAAAACTGATATCAGACAAGAACAGAGGCTGATCGCCGTTGATATGTCCAATAGGAACGTCATAATAGTCCGCAAGAGCAATCGAACGATCGAGCCATACACCGAGCGAAAGGTAGCGCTGCAGCATCTTTTGAGCGACGTGCGTTTGCCATGGGAAGACGTCGAGGGAGTGAGGAACTTTTGCTTTCGACATCGATAGGATTGGAAATTTCGACAATTTGGAGACCCAAGTATCGAAGTAGACTTGCTCCTTTGACGAGGAGATGACGACCATGTACGACATGTTTTCTAGCAGTCCGAGCTCCCGGGAAATTGCTTTGAGGGCCGTGATATCCTTGTTGTGGTATGTGGTCGTGAACTCGCAAGAAGTGGGGTACTGGATTGAAGCAGGATCTCCGTAACTCTCTTTCCGTTTCTTCAAGGTATCGGTGTACAATTCTTGCAAACGTGGTATGCCCTGTCGGCGCGTCGCAGGGTCGACCAGGTGCAGCTTAACGGCACCACTAGGAAGGAAGAGTGCAAATACATGGATCGGAGCATTATGCGAGCAAGCATGGTAGAGGAATAGGTATTTGCCCCCACGCCCAGAGTTGAGGTACGGTTTTCGAGAGAGAGAGGGGCTGGCGCGATCGAGCTGGCTCAGATCGACTCCGCTACTCTGGGCCCGATTGAGAGTCAAGCCCAGTTCATCCACAGTACATGTCTTGCCTAGTTTCAGTAAAGCTCGCATTTCTAGCGGAACCTAGCGTAGCTGTTAGTGAGAGACGCTTAGCGTAGATATCAAGACGTACCTGTCGCTCGAACACACCGTCGACATTCGGATCGTTCATTAAGTCCGTAAAATGTTCCTGGATATCCTGGTACACATCCTCCTTTACCACCAGCTTGTACAGATTTCTGCAAGGGAAATCTCTCGGCAGGTGCCTAACTACTTTCTCATACTGGTAGTAGTCCGTGCGGAACAAGTTGTCTTTGGGCGGATTCTTGAAATGGACGTAGAACTGTCTTGGGATACGGAGCGGGACGGGCGTGGGTTCTCCGTCAACAGAAACCCATAGTGTGAAGCGACCCGAAATCTTGCTTGGTCGAATTTGCACGATATCCCAGCGTTGCGTTGTTCGAACGCGTGAGCTTTTAAACATGGAAGGAACGATAGCGGACGCGTCTCCACCCCAGCGAGCTTCTCGTCTCTTCCGCCAGCGAGGCTTGATGGCTTTCAGCCACGCAGAATAGTTCGAGGAAGGGTCGGGAAGGGGAGTATTGTCTACGTTGTTGTCCTCGTCCTCGTCCTCGTCCTCGTCAGGACTTTGCCTCCGCGCAGCCTTACGGCTCACGACGGCAATACGTCCTTGAGCGGGCTTCTTCTGCATCCCAAAGTCCTCCAGGTCTTCCTCTCCGTCCTCCTGCGTTTGGAGCGGAGCTTTGGAAAAGAAGTCAGTAACCTTGTTCTGCTTGAACTTGTCCACCGCCACTGCAACTCTGCGATGCAACCAATCGGGATGCCTGATCCTCGGTACAGGATTCGACACGCCTTGCATAGCAGCAGGAATAGTGATCAGTTTCTGAATCACAGAACCCAGTCGCTCGATGTAGTATTCCCAGTCCAATATCCCACGAAGGTCAAATGTTGTTAGACCTGGATCCTTGAGCCATTTGCGGAGGTAAGTCCGCTTCACAGACTCTTCGGCGGAGAAGATGGCGATGGGAACGGCTCGCTCGGTGACGGGAGCACCGTGTGGCTTGGCGGAGATGATGAACTTGCATGCGAGACCTTTGTCTTTCACCATTTGGTCTCCGAGAAACTCGGCAAGTCTCTTAGCAGTACTGATTGACGTAGATTTTTGTCCACCGTACTCGGCAAGTGTCTTTGACATGCTTCTGTTTTCGGCAATGAGTTCGACAAGTTCCTCGTCGGTGCAGGGTTTCAGCGCGACAGAAGAGGATGTCGAGCCACTGGTTGGCGACGCTTGCGACGGCAGCCGTAGCATTCTTCGGTGGTGGTGCCGAGCAAGAACTTCTCGAAGATCTGGGATTGGAAGATTTTGATGAGTTGGAGCTCTCCGCGCCGCTTGACTTCGAAGCCTTTAAGTTCTGCAAGGGACCCGATCGTCAGTTGAACACCTGCATAACGCTTTTTGAGCAGCTTGTCTTCCTCCTTCGACGAGGGGAGAATCATCGCGCGGTACGGACCATCTAGCTCGAAGAAGATGGAGTTCTCGGAGTGTATGACATATTCCCCGGTTGCCGCGTCGAGGTCGTGATACTGATGATTCGTGAACTGTGCATAGACGAGGTGATTGAGCATCGTACAAGGATACGAGAAGCCTATGTTTTTGCCATTATTCAACTCGAACTTGAAGTTCTCTGGGAACACTCCTGGGAGCATACACCAGATTCCATCCGTGTCTAGCTCAAGTGGACGCCCAATCTGTTCCACTAACGCACGAGCCATCTGAATGATTGTCGCTCCTGTCAGACAGGTGATCCCCGCCATCTCCATCGAGTGCCAACGTGCACCTTTGCGCATCACATACCCGTAGAACGAGTTGAGAATACACTTGTGTGCGTAGCTGCAAGGAGTCGTAGAGCACGATCATCTTCTTCGCTTCATCCACCTCCGCGAGGGAGCGACCCTCGCTCACCACGGTGTCAAGATTCTTCTTCCATGTTTTGTGCAGCCCTTTGTATTCATACCGCCGATCACGGAAACGACGCACGGTGTCAACGTAGAATGGGTTTTCTCGCTGACATACGATCGACTCGCGTGTCTCGACCTTCGTGTCCTTGGTCTTCTTGTAGACTTTGCGAGAGTAGTCTCCGAGGCGCTTATGCAGGAGAGCCGTCTGCTCTGCATCCGTTAAGTCCGCGAACTTCCTTTGTGGACCCCCAGGCTTCTTCGGCGGGAAGCTCTCCTGGTTCAGGGCATGCCGAATCATGTTATATTCGTCCCGGTGCGCGGGGAAGAATTCGCCCCTCCACGCCCATTCCAGCCTCCGATCGCATGTCTTTCCCGGCCGATTGTAGTCGCACACCGCGCACACCGACTCATCGACCATCGAATCTGGCTGTAGACGATTC